ATTCTTACTCTAAGCTACCGTAATTAAAACAGTGTAGTATTGGCCTTAGGATAGTCAAATAGATCAATGGAGCAGAATAGAGTTCAAAAACAGACTCATGTACACAGTCAAATGATTTTTTTCAACAAAGGCACCAAAACTATCCAATGGGAAAAGGAAAGTCTTTTCAACAGATGATGCTGCATTAACAGATCCATACAGAAAAAAATGAATAACGATCCCTACACCATACTATATGCAGAAGTTAATTTGAGATGGATCAGAATCTTAAACACATTGACTAAAAGTATAAATCTTCTAGAAGAAAACATAGAAGAGAATATTGGTAATTTAGAGATAGACAAAGTTTTCCTAGACAAGACACAGGAAGCAAAAAACAAAATTAAAAAAAATAAGTTAGACTTCATCAACATTAAAGTCTTCAAATGACACTTAAAAAGATGAACAGGCAAGTCACAGACTGGTTAAAGAAAAAATCACAAACATATATCTGAAAAAGGATTGGTATCCAAAATACATATATATATATTTTTTTTGAGTTGTAGTCTCACTCTGTTGCCCAGACTGGAGTGCAGTGGCCGCTCCCGGTCACCGCAGCCTCCACCTACTGGGCTCCGGCGATCTTTCCGCCTCAGCCTTCCAAGTAGCCGGAATTACAGGTATGCGCTACCATGCCCAGCTGATTTTTTGATTTATTGTAGAGATGAGTTCTCACTGCCCAGGTGGGTCTCGAACCCGTGGGCTCAGGCAATCCACTCACCTCAGCCTCCCAAAGACGCGGGATTACAGGCTGAACCACCGAGCCAGGCCAAAACACATTTTTTTAAAAAAAACCTTTTACAATTAAGTAATGAAAGGAAAAAATTTTAAAACAAACAGAAAATTTGGACAGACACAAAGGACAAATGTTCAATAAGCTCATCATTAGTCATCAGGGAAATACAAATTAAAACCACAATGAGTTACTACTAGGCAACCACCAGAATTGCTACAATTAAAAAGACTGAAAGAACAAAATATTTGCAAAGATATGGAGCAACTGAAATTCTCATAAATTGTTGACAGGAATGTAAAATGGTACTACTCTGGCAAAAAAGACCTGGTAATTTCTTTAAAAATAAACATATTCTTGCTATACCATCCAATAATTAACACTTGTAGGTTGTTATTAGTCTAGATCTGATCAAGAGAGAAACTAAAACAAGACTTGGGGTAATAAGGGGACTAGTTAGTGAGAAGTGAATAGAATACCAAAGAATACTGAAATAGATAAGGAGCAGCCCTTAGGCAGCCCCTAGGCTGGGATGCAGCACCCAAGGAGAAGCTCCCTCCACTCCCCTCAGGCTGAGAACCAGACCTGGCAAGACAGGACATGCTGTGACTCACCGAATCACAGCTATGAGCCTAGTTCAGTGGAACTTGCTAGAAATTTGCCTCTTGGACCTTGCTGGAAACTCACACTCTGGGGTGCTTGGGAATGCCATTCATAGCAAGATATTCCTCCTGAGGCATTCTGCTACAAAACTCCCAAAACTGCTACAAAAAAGGCTGGAGAAAGGGTGTTGCAGGAAACTGCTGGCTGTTGATTGCTGCTGGCCATTGTGTGCTGCAGGAGCTGGAGACTGGGGAAGCTGTGAGATCTGCAGGAGCCTAGTGAGTAAGCACAGGACACATAGGAAGCAAAGCCCTTTCCTCTTGCAATGTATCTTCTGAGCCTTCCAATGACAAAACTTCAGTGCCAGCTGGTGAGGGGAAAATATTTAAAGGGCCCATATTCATTTTAAGAGAGCAGGCAAAATGGATGAATTCAGAGCTGAGTAAATAAATCAATAACACTTAAGTGTTACCTAAAAGTAAATGTCCACAAAATGCAAAAACAGCAGCCTTATCCATAAAAGCCCAAATCTAAAAATAGCTCAGATGTCCATCAACAGGAGAATGAATTGAAATAGGGACCGAGCGCTTAATTCACAGACACTGACACCAAAAGTATAAGTTATAAAAAGGAGAGGTTTATTAGCCAAGAGCCAGGCCAGCGGCCACTTGTTGCTGGACATGCAAGTCCCACAGCAAGGGCCCCCATTTGCTGTAGGGGCTTGCTTAAATGGGGCAAAACCACATTGGGACTTTCCAAGTGAGCCAAACCGCAACATCCTGGAGGCCTAGGTACTTTTCAAGCAATGCTAGCGGGGTTCACAGAAGTGATTTTAAAAAGCTGTTAAACAGTTTAACCTAGCCAGCAGATGCTGTTGCCAGTTTCTTGGAAGGGAACTTTTTTTAACTGTGCAAAGCCTGAGTACATGTTTAGCCTAATTTTTGACATTGTAGATGTTTTTTTAAGCCCTCTTCCACAGAATAAGCTGGTATATTCACACAACAGTTACTGAGCGATAAAAGGGAATTAACTATTTTTGTACATTTTGAATTTTATACATCTTGAGTCTCAAAAAACTTTAAGGTTCTAAAAGAAGTTTTATCCATAAAAGTACATAATGACGTTTTATGAAGTTCTAGAATAATCTAAACTTATTGAGGGTGGGGTGAGGATTTACTCAGAAGCATTATGTGGGAATTTTCTAAAGTCACAGCAATATTTCACCTTAATAGGAATCTGTGTTACACAGATGTGTGCATTTGTCAGAACCCCCCAAGGGTGATTTGTGCATTTCACTGTCTATAAACTTTACCTCAGTTTTAAAAATAAGATAATAAATAAATATTAAAATCGAGTTAATGATATGTATTCTAAAGTGTGAAGGAGTGAAAAGTACTGATTATCTGTATCTTGCTTTTGCAGCAAAAAAAATTGTTTAAAAGACAGAAATGTATACATAGAGATACAATAAAGTAAAAATAGCAAAATGTTAATTATGAAACTTGGCTCTTACCTCACACCATACACAAAAATCAATTCCATGTGGATTGTCATTCCAAGTGTGAAAGTTAAACTGGTAAAGTTATCTAAGAGTTAGGAAACAGGGAGTTGAGATGCTGCTTTTCAATAGCTTACCTGTGTGGTAATTTCTCTTATCAAAAGAAGGAATTGGACCAGGTGATTTTTAAATTTCTTTCTAGGTCTTAAATTCACATTTCAAAAATCTTTATTCATTATTTTCCATGAAGCCTAGAAATGTACCCTGAGAAAATAATAAAGCAAGTTTATAAACATACATATTAATTGCAATACTTTGGTAAGTGAGAAAAATTGGCTACAGTCTAAATGTATACCATCAGAGAGATAAATAAATGATGGTACCTCCAGGCCATGGAATACTAGGGAGTCATTAAAAAGAAGGTGCTAGATCATGATATTTTTGCATGAAAATATCCAGGATACATTGTTATATTGTTTCTGTTTTTAAAGTCTATTGCCGAACAGTTAAGGTACAAATAAGATCCCATTTTTTTTTAAAGTTCAATAACTATTTCTTGTTCACCTATCTTATGCAATAAGTCATCTGCCATAAAACAGATATATTAATGGAAACTCAGACAAATAAAAGAAATACACATAAAACTGTCAGTGCCTTAGCTGGGCATGGTAGTGCACACCTGTAGTTCCAGCTACTGGAAGGCTGAGGCGGAAGGATCGCAGGAGCCCAGCAGATCGAAGTTGCGGTGGTAGCCGGGAGTGTGCCACTGCACTCCAGTCTGGGCGACACAGTGAGACTCCAACTAAAGAAAAAAAAAACTATCGGTGCCTTGAAAAAAAACATTAAGATTTTGACAGTGAGAATAGAGGATCCTGTTTTAGTTAGGGTAGTGGAAGAAGTCCTTTCTGATGTGGCATTTAATCAGAATCCTGAATTATATGGGAGAAGCTTTGCAAAGATTGGGGTGAGAGTTGGAGGAGTGCCTTCCAGGCCAGTGAACAGCAATTGCAAAGGCCTTTAGCCTGGCAAGAACAACGGGTGCCCGAGGAACAACACAGCAGCGGGCCAGCAGCTGGGCAGGGGGACAGATCAGGGCCAGTGGCCACATGCCCAGAGCACCGGGCCTTGTTTGACATGCTAAGAACTCAGTTCTTATTGGGGCGGGGGGGGGGGGGACCA